AAATGCTTTGGTATGTTATAAGGATTTTTTGCTCTTTATAAGGATTTTTTTGGTAGTTTATATGGGTTGGCGCTCCGAAAGGTTGACAGGTATGTACGTTTCTCTGGGTGGGGGGGTGTCCATCCTTCCTTTTTCAACAACTGAGACTAGCATAAGACTATTTGTGAAATGTTGACTCTTTGGTCGAAAAATGCCCATACCCTTTTTTGTTTATGTTCTGTAAAGCACTTTTGCTTAAACGGCTATATGAATAAATAAGGATGCATGGTATTGTATTAGTTCGAGTGAACACAATAACCAATGCCCTCAATGTCATCGGGCCAGCATAACAAAGAGAAAACGTGATTTTGATGGATCTTTGCTCAATACAAGTTGGCACATCAAAATCGAAACAGCGGTCAGTGATGTGGATTTTCCTCTTCTGACAGAATTCAGACGTAACACAGAATTAGCAACATTTGTTCTCAACAGGTATGTAACTCCCTTTTTTAAATGTCATTTTAATTGATTATACATCCTTGCAATATGCAAGCAACATGCTTGCAATATCTCTATTATTATTATGGATTCCAGATGACAATTTGAAATTTTGGTTCAGACTTTAGCAAACATCATGGAACTTGACGTGCTTGATTTGCCTTCGCGGGCCACATAAAATGATGTGGAGGGCCAGATCTGGCCCCCGGGAATTGACTTTGACACCTGTGACATAGACAAACAACCATTCACACTCACAGTCACACCGAAGGACTATCTAGAGCGTTCAATACACCTACCGTGCATGTTTTTGAGAATCACTCAAGAACTTTAGTGAGGTGTACGGCTACATGGCGAACATTCAAATGTTTCTAGCAAGTTTAATACTGCAAACTCCCCCTATAAACACCTGAACATATATATGATCATCATCACCAAGACATATCCATAAGGTTTATTCATTCATTCATTCTTTTTCCGAACCGCTTTATCCTCACTAGGGTCGCGGGTCCATAAGATTTAATCTATCAATAAAATAGGTACTGCAAAAACGAGTGAGAACGGATCCAATTCATGGCACACAATGCAAGACAAAGTGTAACACAGTATGAGAACTACACAGTCACAAGTAGATGGCAGCTGCTCGCGTGGCTCCCTGCTGCAATCACATTGATATTTTTAAACCAGACCAAAAGAAAACTGGAGTGCACATGGGTGGTGGGTGATAAGGCTGTGTCACAACACAGCGGTGTTAAGACGGCTTACACGTTTTTCTCCCCACTGATTTTATTGTTCTGTATTTATCTCAGTGTGTGTTCTTCTTTTGTTAGTTTATGCATTGTTGCTTCAGTAAAACTATGACGGTCTCCAAGCTGGAATGACACCGATGAGAGCATTACACATTGTTCACATGTATGAGTGGACAGCAATCATTAACTGACACAGATAATAATGATCAGAGTGATAAGTTTACAGGTCCTAACGGCTCTATTTTTTAACCTTTTTCATACTAGAACATTTTGCGGGCTGCATACTTCCCATGCCAGTGAGGTCAAGGTCATTATTGCTTGACATACCACTGATGTCATCACTTCATTTGCATGTCCAAGTACGAGGAGATAAGTCCAGGGGACAAGGGATTAGATGTGAAAGAAACCCGACCTGGTGAAGTCTGCAGACTTATTGATTGCCATGATCGAAGTAAGTAAGGTCAAAGTATTAGCCACAGTGAAACCTTCCTTTGGCATCCCCAGCGCTCCCGTCTGACATCTATGTATCATGATGTGTCACTGCGAGCCACTTGTAAATACTCTAATCCGTTTATACAGGTCAATTATATTGTTTCCAAATTATGGTTTCATTCAGATGAGGGGGGAAAAAAACATACTTTGTCACTGAGCTGCTGCTTCATCAAATAATGCTATGTTTAGTGCAACATTTCACCCCAAAAACTGACACCAGAAATACATGTGTAGTGTTAGGCTACTTCATCGCACGTTCGTGCTGTTTGAGGCCTCAAACACTCAGTCGATTCAAAAGAGAGATAAAAGAGAAAGATGTTTTTGTGACATTCCTGCTAATTGTTTAGAACGTTCATTCCATTGATACAACCGCCATGGTGGAGACAAGTCCGGACTTCTGTGATTGAGTCATCATTCAATATACTCTGCCTCTCCCCCGTTCGAATGGGATAGACTCCAGCTTTCCCATGACGCCTTATCAGGTTGTTGATTGCCTTAACTGCACATGAAAATTAATAGCGCCTGCCTTGATCTTCCATCATTCATTGAAACAACATGACATAAACACAGCAAGCGTCTTTACAGGGGGCAAGGTAAGGTGTTTTAACCGGGGGGGAAATATGACCACCAGAGAGCCGGAAAACAGCAAATGCACAGTTGTCTGATGAAGCTTGAACTTGCTTTGTTGAGGCTGCAAGGTACAGTCGTCCTCCTTGAACGATCCCATTCACCCTTTTGTTTATGATCAAGGCCTGACATGGCACTGCAAAATGCCCTCTCTCCCACACAGATCTGAAAACTGTTGCCAACGCCTGTGGACTGTCGTACGGCAGTAATAACTTGATTGTATAATTGCAACACAGACACATGCAGTTGAAGGGTAATGAGGGCGCACAGATGTAGAGTCACTAAATGAAATCGTGCCACCACCTCTTATGACTCAGTTATTGTTTGATTGATTTTTTTTTTCCACAAAACAACTGCAGAAAATTGTGTAAATGAATGTCATCGAATTGTTTGTTTATTCTAACTGTGCTATCCATGAGTCATCCGTTCATCCATCCGTCCATCCATCGATCCATCTATCCATTTTCTTCTGCTTATCTTCTTGGCTCAAGGGCCAGCTGCCTAACTAGGGAACGTGGGATGTGCCAGGAACACCTGGCCAGGGCAGCGTCCAGGAAGCATCCTTACCAGATGCCCGAGTCACCTCATCTGGCTCTTTTCGACGCGCAGGTCTCACCCTTTTCTGACTGAGCCCAACAACATCCGATGCTGATTCTCATCCACTACCCATAACTGAAATAGTCTTTCTTGTTGGAGCTGTGAGAAGAAGTTGTAGATCTTTTCCAACAGTTGATCCCCGAAACTTGGAAACAGCCTCATTTTCAAACATATCCAGTGTCCTTTCTTGGAATTCACTCAGAGATTCTACTTGTGATATGTAGCGTTTTGTGCGTGTGTGTGTGTGAGTGTACTTTCCAGTTCCAATCCAACCAAAGAATTCTGAAGCCTGCTTTCCCAGCTGTGAAATACACTATGAAGCCCAGCTAACACTTTTATTATGAGGAGCTTTTGTGGTCTTCATTATGGGAATGGAGAATATCTTTGGCAGACACGAGTTGGTACCGCGCATATTTTTATACTGGCAGCGTGACTGACCAATCTTCTGTCTTTGATGAGGCATATTGGGGATGGGCTTTCATCATTATACCGCAGTTAGTAAAACACCCTTTCAAAAGAATGACAGACCCGGTGCACTCTCTGACCGGTGTTGTCATTCCAATCGTGTTTGCATGTTTGTACACAAGCTGTTTTGCACTTGGCCTTGAGTGGAATCAAATTAGCACCAGAGGTACGTAAAGAACTACGCTTATGTGTTTTGTTCCACATCAGCAGCACATCTCTTGAAATAATGGCCAGCACTGAGACTGACAGGCTGTCAAAGACTGGCAATACCAAACTTCATATTAACACACCCAAATACAAGGCGCTGTCAGATGTCGTGCGCATTTCACAAATTCATTTGAACATGGATGGAAAGGGAAGCCCCGTTTTAGACGCACATGTGCAATTGCAGAGGAGGGGATCTGTCAATTTCCTTTTGGCCCTCCTTGGACACAGGTTCTTTTATTTCTCTATAAGGTGGAAGAAGACCCAACACCACGTCGTCTTTTCTTCAGTTTATCACAACGCAACACGAATCGATTCCTGAGAGTCTCAGGTTTCACCAGGAAGCGTAGAAAAAAATGCAGTCATGAGAATATATAGGGACAATATGATAATGAGAGGTGGGCAGTTATGCCTCCATGCAAATCCTGGAAACAAAGAAATGTACATGTCATCTGACCCGGTGTAGCTGGAAAAAGTTGGGAGTGGTGAGGTGAGACCAGACCACCACTACCCACTATTGTCTTCGGTCTGATCTTTGACGTAATGGCAGGAACACAGATGCTTGAGATAACAGTTACTCTTTTGATGTCAAACATGTCCTCTGGAGGGGGCCCTAAAAGTGGTGGGGGTCGAGGGGCACTAAAGGTGATTGTAATCACAGTGAGCAGTAAATACCTCCAACAGCATTCTATATTCTTTGTTTTCGTGTTTGAACAGAACCAACAACAGAGAGGGGCTAAATAAAATCACAGTAAGGAATAAATTCCTTAACAACAATATAAATGTGTTTGCAGTGCACCGCCATGTGAAACTTGAGGTTTCAAAAGCAAACATATCATTTCAGGATTGTTCCTTTATGTGGGAGTAAGTCTCAATTAGAAGCAAAATAGCAGCCGCATGGGCACGGGGAGCGCGTCGGTGTCCGCTGATGTACAGGCTGAACGCAACTTCTCACTGGGCATCACAAATGTGTTCAACTTCCACCTCGTCATTTGAGACGAAGAGAACACTAACCGTAATCCACACGACACATTCCAAATAGCTGTCACCTCGTCAACTGTCAAGTGCAGCGCTCTCACAATGTGGCAATTCACTCCCTCCACTTTCATAATGAGTTTATTTAATCGACGGCACTCGAGGGCCCGTGATAACACATCATCTTACCTCGACAACTTTGTGGTTTGTACCCAAGACAAACCACAAAGTTGCCGTGAGTCAAAAACATACAATATAAGTACAATAATTAAGTGGCCTTAAGCATATTGGCCATTCATCAAGAGAAGGGGGGTTGTGAAAACACACAAGGCAAGCATCATCTTGGATAAAGTTGAACAGTCACTTTGCGACAGTAGTTCAAAAACAAAGTTGATTCAAGTATTGTGAGCCTACCTTCGTGAGAGGGTGTGCTGCCGAGGTATCATTGGTGTTTCAAGTCGAGAGCGGACGCATCAAACCTTCAACCTTGTGTGGCAGTAAAGGAAGCAGATGAGAAGAAGATTTGTGGACTCGGTGTGCAGCACCACAGAGTCCCCCGCAGTCAGCAAGCAGCAGCCGCAACAGCTCCACAGCCGCGCTCAGCTCGGAGAGATCTGAGAGGCGGCAGAATGAAAGAGACGGACTTGCTGCTGCTGTCTCTCCCCGACCCTGAAGCTCACACTGACTCTTCGGATCTCTGCTGCTTGCTCTGCTTTCTCCCGCTCTACTTAAAGCTCTTTCTTGCACACACATGGATTCCCCGCACTGCATCTCTCTCTCTTTCTCTCTCTCCACTCCGTCTCTCTTTCTGGCACTCACATGCACACACAGCCCTCTCACTAAGGGTGCTTGCCCCACATTGCAGATTGTCTTTCAATGGACTCCAATATCACTGCCCGCGTTTATTGATTTAAAAAAAAATATTTTGATATCATATTCTCGCCATTGACCTGGAAAAACCCAAGGATCGGAGAGAGCGATAACACGGAAGAGCTACAGGATGATGACAAAATTCCCAACCTGCCCGCATGAGGCTTCCTGCAGGGTGGGTGAGGGTGACACGGGTGACACGGCTTTGCTTTGAAGTGCAAATGAAATGTCATGCATGTTAGCTAGTGAACCCAAATACTACAGTGGCGAAGGCACGCTTGTGGGTGCTTCTATATTCACATGTGCCATGCTGAATTGAAATGCAATTTTTGAAAACTCCAGAGGACCTGACTCCAAGCGCAATTCACAAAAGGAAAACCAAAACAAAAGACTTCCAATCCTTGGTCGTTTATGTGCTCCAAGGAGGGAAGTGTACGACTGTCACCTTCAAGGGTAAAACTCATTTGAGGTGTACACAGTGGTAGAATGTAAACCACCCAGCCATCCATTATCCAAGCCAAAACTGAACCCATGACGCTGTGAGACAGATGTGCTAACCGGTTGAGTACCGTGCCAACCAGTCCCATCGCCGTGCTGCCGAGATTGTAATCCAGAATTGATTAATTGTAAGAAAGCACTGCTGTCCAGGAGGACTTCATAGATGACTTCATTGACTGCCATCTGTTTTCACAGCAGATGTCTCCATAGTCTCAGCTGCTTACGAGCTTGAAGAAAAAGAGACCTTCCTCATTCAACAGAGAACTTTTGTTTCCAGCTTTTTCTGTTATTTAGTAATCAGCGGTAAAACACTAAAAAGTGCATACCCAAGTCAAACAGTCGTGACTTTGGCGTTTTTGTGTTTTACTTTTGTGACACCTCAAACTGTATAACAACAAAAACAAGACCGAGACGTGACTTTTGATGGCAAAAAAATGATTTATTTACAGATGTATGACTTTGGAATGCACTATGTGTGTGTGGCTGCACGGCACATGTTGAATGTCACAGGGCGCTTATGGTGAGAGGTGCCTAAACTTGTCCGACTTTCAACATGGTGGCATTTCTTGACCTCATTGACGATGTGACAAGCCGTGATTCACCCCTTAATCTTTATCTTCGACTCAAAAGCGGTGCCGATCTCCAATCCTATGTGACGTAAAATCGCCAACGACAGTCATCTGTCTGTCGCCACAGTGGTTTACAGGCCTGAATTGCACAGACAGGCTGAGTGAGACCCTCTCCAACGTTTACAGGTTGAAAAACGCACTTTGGAAATATATGCCGTGGCAGTAAACAATTGAGTTCCATCTGACAAATTGAAATGAATGAGTCAAGAAATTGTTGCAACCAAGGTTGGGAGAGTTACTTTCAAAATGTACTCCAATACAGTTACGAGTTACCTGTTAAAAAATGCAATCTATAATGTAATCCAAGTACCATAATATTAAAGTAATGGCATTTAATAACTTTTAATTACTTTTGGATTACCCCAAAACCAAATGTGCCAATGAGAGTAAATAAATGAATGCGTAAATAAAAATATCACGACAATATACATTGTATCCAGTGGACCCCTGTTATAAAAACCTTTTCACAGACACTCAAGTGGGGGTGGCATTTGGTAAATAAGCCACATTGTTACATCACAATCTGGCAAAATCAAAAACATCTCACTTACACATTTTTGAAAACGAGGGAGCTCACAAAAGATTCAGTTGGTTGTTTAGTTTCTTATTGGATTGATGAGCAGTCACTCCAGAGATCAAATTGTATTTAACCAATTGAATTGTTGTTTGTTTTTTTTCATTCTCCACAATACCTCCAAATGTAATTGTAAAGTAATTGAATGTCCGTACAAGTATTTGCGCTTACCAGCAAAAGCTTTACTTGTCACTCGGGAATAGTACACGCCAGTGTAAACGGTAACATCAATTTACTTACCCGCATGCACGTGGTGGTTACTCTGGCAACCCGATACCAGCTCTTTACGGGATGGCGAACTATTGTCGTAAAGTCCAATGCATGTAGTCCTTATATGACAGAAATCAAATCAATCATTATACAACATGCTTGTGTAGCTCATGGCAAGATAAAGAATCCTGAGCATTTTGAAGTGCTACAGTAAGGTAAGAATTGAATAAAATCATATCACGTTTGATCAGACCGTTTTATTCTTCCCTCCCCCTTATATATATATATATATATATATATATAAACATACATACATGATAAGTATATGATAAATCAAATTCTTCCTTTCAATTCTCTCTTTGTGTCGCTATCGTGTGGTATCCTTTGCTTTCACCGCACCATCTGCTCCTGTCTTGGATGGATCGCTTTCTGCTTACATGAATACCTCAGTGCCCAGAAGAAGACCACTTTTGTTCGTGGCTGAAGCTTGAAGAAAATCAAATCAAATCAAATCAAATCAAATCAAATAAATACCTACTATATAGCTTTATTGAATACCACAGTACGTAGTATACTTTTACAGCAGCTTCATCACACCACAAATTCCATTCTTCTCCTGAGGAAATAATGTGCTGACATTTCTTTTGGAAGCAATGGGTATGGAGGCTATTTTATAATCAAACTAAACGTCACATCTTCAAAATGGTGCTCAGTGTCAAATTATTGGTTACTTTAAGAAGAATAGAATCTGTCAAACTTCGCTTGGTCAATTGATTTTGTTCACGACTAATTTGCTGGGTGCATTAATAGGAAGCCATTAAATGTGAAGTGGAGGAAATGCAGGTTCATCAAGAGGGCAGACCCATCATTTACATTGCAGACATATTTTGAATTATTTGTGCATGAAATACAATGGACCTGCACAGTGTTATCCAACACGATAAAAATCGACCGTGGGCCTTTGGGGTAAATATGGCTTTCGTTTTTCAGTTCCGTGACCACCATCTGGGGAGGGGGTGAGAATTTGATCAAACGAACCTTTGAAAGAATATTTTTCACCGTCAAAAATGTTGCACAATCGAGAGTATCATTTCGCTCAAATATTAGGAGATTTTGTGATTTCAGAATTCTTTGAGACAATTAATGGTAAAAGAAACATTGATATTTTAGTTGAGTATTAGGATGTAGCAGTTTAATATGAGAATGGTCTTCAAGTTCTCAATGCCTTCCTCTCCCACTGCTGGAATTTGACTTTGCTGACATTCCATTGATTTCTGGGAGCTAATTGTTTACTCAAGGGGAAAATGAGTGAACTTCTTACAAAGAATTCTTTCCTTAAAGGAATTGTTGGAGATTTGATTGACTTTTTGTGTTTTCCAATTTTTCAGAGGCACACGAGAATGAAACCGAAAACAAGGAAATCAGCTGACAGATGAAAAGTGGCATGCCTGAAATTTTTTGAAAAATTTTCTCGCCATGCAACTTTTTCATGGATCCGCTGATTTGCTTGTTTTTTTACTTCACACATGCCAGTGTGAATTATTCAACATTGATTTGACTTTACTTGTCATGCCGCAACACTGCCATCATCAACCATAGTGATCACACCCTCTTGAGTAAAACCATTATGGATTTAAACAGTAATTAGAATAAAGTGTTGTCTATTCAATTAATTTACAAGCTCCATAACGTTAAATTGTAAATATTTGTAGGAAAATGGCTCCAGCACTCACACCCGTCACTAGACAGGCAGGCCACAGCTTTATTATTCATATTTTAGTGTTTCATAGTACTGATTCGTGTCTTGTGTAATACTAATGATGAATCGTTTATGACTAAGACATTACAAATCTAAAGAAACAGTGGGGTGATTTTGCTTGATTGATGCCCTTACCAAAAGTAATGTCACATATGTAAGCTTATGCGACAAATACGTTACTGTTGGTATGCACATTTTTCAAAGTGAATCTGCATTTTTTTGTATGTACAGTGTGTGCGTGTGTGCGTGTGTGCGTGTGCGTGTGTGTGTGTGTGTGTCTAATGTGGCAAGACATGACGAAATAAAAAATATGAACGCATTTGTACACAACAAGAGCCGACGACAGTGCGGTCCACTGGCACTTGAGGCAGCAGTCACCCCCCCCTCCCCCCACCCCTCAAAAAAAGCTTACTTTGACTAAAATGTCACAAAACGGCACTCCCTCGTCACCAAAATGCACGTGGACATCTCTACTTATGCCCGCATCAACTTCTAAAAATATCACAATGATCGCCCCAATATTTTTGTATTTTATGGACAGAGTGTTTTGCTCATAAAGTGGTGACATAAGCTTTGTAGTCACTGCCTCTATGGAGAGGAAAATGCTTGCCGTATAATCTGTAATGCTTGGGCTATCATTCTTTCAGAGGTTTATATGAGCATAAGTCGAGATGTCAAAATAAACTTTGGTGATGCTTGATCGCAGGACACTAAGATACAGTATGTCTACTTTCCGACATTACGCCTCGAGACTATCCCTGTCACAAACATTTTTTGGCAATATATTGCATTAGTCTCAGCAACTAAAGATCCATTTGACCTGGTTTCATAAAAGAAATCAAAAGAGCCACAAACCTTTGGGACATTTCAGATGAAGATCTTTTTTCCCCTTTTTCGTTTAATTTCTGCTACATACACCCATTGAACCAGGTAGCCCCTTCAAAGCAATATGTCAGTGCATTCCCCATATTGGATGTGGCCATTGTATCCATCCAATCCATCCATCCATTTTCAACACCGCTTATCCTGAACAGGGTCACGTGGAGTTGCTGGAGCCTATCCCAGGTGACTTTGGGCAAAAGGCGCTCTACACCCTGAACTTGTTGAATGTCAATCGCAGGGCGCATATAGAGAAATAGCCATTCACACCCTCGTCCACTACGTCACTGAGTGGGAACCGATCCGACGCTGCCCACACACAAATCAGGCGAGTGTACCGCAACAACATTGACGACTCTGGCCATCCTTATATCTGAAAAGT